ACACACACTCTCTCTCTCTCACACACACACACACACACACACACACACACACTTACTCACTCACACACACACTTACTTACACACACACACACAAACACTTACTCACTCACACACACACTTACTCACACACACACACACACACACACACACAAACACTTACTCACTCACACACACACTTACTCACACACACACACACACACACACACAAACACTTACTCACTCACACACACACTTACTTACACACACACACACACACACTCACTCACATTTAAGGTTACGTGTGGGTAAAGCAGCTTATAATACTTGAACTAATCTATTTGGTTTTCTTCAGATTCTCATGAGTTTTTGCTCTCTCTCTGTAGGTAATCACTCCGTGTCGTCGGCTGGTTCTGTGTGCGGAAAACAGGAAAGAAATGGAGGAGTGGATCGCAGCGCTGAAGAGTGTTCAGAACCGAGAACACTTTGAGGTGAGTTTCTCCGTTTGACTGGATATGTTTAGAGACGGTTTAGACTGAAATCTATTACAGCACATTCTTTACAAGCGGTTGTACAGAAAGCAGTGGAAAACCTGTGTTTTTTTCACACACAAAATGAGTCAGAATTCAGATTAATTTCTGGTTTAATTGCTAGCAGTGACTCACAACTACCATTCATATATATTTTTTGACAGGTGACAGGTTATTATTATATATTATTGGCTTTTATTTTTGATATTTTATTTTTATTATTGTTTTTGTTTGTTTTTATTAATTTTGTTACATGCTTTTGTTTGTTAGGTTTAATTTATCTTTTATTTCAGTTTTAGTTTATTCCGTTATTAGTTATTACTTTCATCTTAAACTGTAGTTGCCATGACAACATTTATAATTATCCTTTGGTTTAAGTTTTCCATCTAATACTTGTATTTTATTTCAGCTTTATTTTGATTAACAAAAATAACTGTTCAAAAGTTTTGGGTCAATATTAGTTTTTACATTTTTTTAAAAGAAGTCTCTTCTGCTCTCCAAGGCTGCTTTTATTTGATCAAAAATACAGTAAAACTGTGAAATATTATTAAATTTTAAAACAGCTGTTTTCTATATGAATATATATTCAAATGTAATGTATTCCTGTGATGCACAGCTGAATTTTCAGCATCATTCCTCCAGTCTTCAGTGTCACATGATCTTCAGAAATCAGTATAATATGCTGATCTGCTGCTCCAGAAACATTTCTGATTATTATCCATGTTGAAAACAGTTCATATTTTTGTGGAAACTGTGATGTGTTTGTGTCTCTGCTCTAGTCCACTCAGCTCAGTATGGATCATTTCTCTGGGATGCATAACTGGTACGCCTGTTCTCACGCTCGCCCCACGTACTGTAACGTCTGTCGGGAGGCTCTGTCTGGAGTCACGTCTCACGGACTGTCCTGCGAAGGTTTGACTGGATATGTTTAGAGATTGAAAAAGAGACTGAAATCTATTACAGCACATTCTTTACAAGCGGTTGTACAGAAAGCAGTGGAAAATATGAGTCAGAATTCAGATTAATTTCTGGTTTAATTGCTAGCAGTGACTCACAACTACCATTCATATTTTTTTTGACAGGTGACAGGTTATTATTATATATTATTGGCTTTTATTTTTTATATTTTATTTTTATTATTGTTTTTGTTTGTTTTTATTAATTTTGTTACATGCTTTTGTTTGTTAGGTTTAATGTATCTTTTATTTCAGTTTTAGTTTATTCCGTTATTAGTTATTACTTTCATCTTAAACTGTAGTTGCCATGACAACATTTATAATTATCCTTTGGTTTAAGTTTTCCATCTAATACTTGTATTTTATTTCAGCTTTATTTTGATTAACAAAAATAACTGTTCAAAAGTTTTGGGTCAATATTAGTTTTTACATTTTTTTAAAAGAAGTCTCTTCTGCTCTCCAAGGCTGCTTTTATTTGATCAAAAATACAGTGAAACTGTGAAATATTATTAAATTTTAAAACAGCTGTTTTCTATATGAATATATATTCAAATGTAATGTATTCCTGTGATGCACAGCTGAATTTTCAGCATCATTCCTCCAGTCTTCAGTGTCACATGATCTTCAGAAATCAGTATAATATGCTGATCTGCTGCTCCAGAAACATTTCTGATTATTATCCATGTTGAAAACAGTTCATATTTTTGTGGAAACTGTGATGTGTTTGTGTCTCTGCTCTAGTCCACTCAGCTCAGTATGGATCATTTCTCTGGGATACATAACTGGTACGCCTGTTCTCACGCTCGCCCCACGTACTGTAACGTCTGTCGGGAGGCTCTGTCTGGAGTCACGTCTTGAAACTGTGAAATATTATTAAATTTTAAAACAGCTGTTTTCTATATGAATATATATTCAAATGTAATGTATTCCTGTGATGCACAGCTGAATTTTCAGCATCATTCCTCCAGTCTTCAGTGTCACATGATCTTCAGAAATCAGTATAATATGCTGATTTGCTGCTCAAGAAACATTTCTGATTATTATCCATGTTGAAAACAGTTCATATTTTTGTGGAAACTGTGATGTGTTTGTGTCTCTGCTCTAGTCCACTCAGCTCAGTATGGATCATTTCTCTGGGATGCATAACTGGTACGCCTGTTCTCACGCTCGCCCCACGTACTGTAACGTCTGTCGGGAGGCTCTGTCTGGAGTCACGTCTCACGGACTGTCCTGCGAAGGTCCGGCTCTCGTTATGATGTATTCTGATTTGATATGCGATAATTAGAGGTTCTTGTTTAGGTTGATTTTTAATTGTATGGTTTGAATGTGTTTAAGTGAAATCTCTGTGTGTCACACAGTGTGTAAGTTCAAGGCTCACAAGCGCTGTGCGGTCAGAGCCACTAATAACTGCAAATGGACGACCCTGGCCTCAATCGGCAAAGACATACTGGAGGATGAGGATGGGGTGAGTGGTAGTCATGCAAAAACAAATCTGGCTCGGCTCCGGACTTAGTTTGGAATTTATTTATATGCTATTATAGTTTTATTCATATTTGATCATATTACCTTTTATTTTTATATTTTTTGTCAAATTTGTAGTAATTTTATTATACTATTTTGTTAATTTTTATTCATTTTTATACTAGTTTCTTATTTTCTGCTGTTTATTGATTTTTACTAGTTTATTTATTAGTTTTTATTTATTTCCAATTAATAATTTATGCTATTTTCTATTTTCTGCTGTTTATTGATTTTTACTAGTTTATTTTCTATTTTTTATTTGTTAGTTTTTATTTATTTCCAATGAATAATTTTAGTACTTGGACATAAATTTATGTTGGTTGCCAAGGCAATATTTATAATTTTTGTTTAGTTTAAATTTTCCATCTAATATTTATATTTTATTTGATTTCATCTTTGTATTAATTAACAAAAATGTTTTTAACAGCTTTAGGTTTAGTCAACATTTGTATCATTATTATTATTTTAATATTACGTTTAGATTTTTGTATTTCAGTTTTAGCTTTAGTTTTTATTTATTTCCAGTTAGTAATTTTAGTGCTTCAACTCAAACCAATTTCAGTTAGTTGCCAAGAAAACATTTCTAAATTTCGTTCTGTTTGTTTTCTAATATTTATATTTTATTTTATTTGAAGTTTTATGTTAATTAACAGCACACAAAAACAATAGTTGTGGTTTTAGTTAATTTTTATATTGCTGTATTTTTTATATATATTTTTATATTACATTTTTAAATATTTTTATATTATAATAGCATTTAACACATTTAGTTTAATATTTCTATTTAAGTTTAATAATTTTTTATTTCTGTTTAAGTTTTAGTTTATTTATTTTCAGTTAGCATCTTTAGTGCTTTAGCTTATATTATTTCAACAAAGGCAACATTTCAAATTTTCATTTAGTTTAAGTCTTCCATCTAATATTTACATTTGATTTTATTTCAGCTTTAATTTGAATACCAAAAATGTTTTTGTTTTAGTTAAAGACAATAACCCTGCCTAAGTAGACAGCATTTTTAGACCTCATAGGTGCATAAATCTGTTCCAAAAAATAGGCTACATTATTCTTACTTCTTAAGTATCATCTAGACGGCACTGCATGCGTTGCAACAACGGTACTTATTTAATCCAGTATTGATTTCATTCATGCTATTGCTATGTATTTTCATGCCTGCTGTTCGTGCAGGAAATCAGCATCTTATGAGATTCCTTATTGTGTAAGAAGCTCAGTTAACATCTGAACTGATCACTCATCCGGTTATTAACGGCTTTGTAAACTCTGTAGATCTCGATGCCTCATCAGTGGCTGGAGGGGAATCTTCCCGTCAGTGCCAAATGCACTGTGTGCGACAAAACCTGCGGCAGCGTCCTGAGACTGCAGGACTGGCGCTGTTTATGGTGCAAAGCCATGGTGAGTGCATGAAAGTTAACATTTTTGACATTCGTGACATTTTCTTAATTTAATGGAATTCAATAATGTTCTCCAGGTGCATGCTGGGTGCAAAGACCAGCTCTCGCCGAAGTGCCCGCTGGGTCAGTGTAAAGTCTCAGTGATTCCACCCACCGCCCTCAACAGCATCGACTCAGACGGTGAGCGTCCAATCAGAACGGTCCCTCAGAAACAACCAATCAGAACGCTTTCCCAGAGATGACCAATCAGAAAGAGCCATCTGATGGAAACATCCAATTATTCATTAATAAATAAAATTACTAAAACCTAAACTGAAATAAAAATACATTATCAGTAAAACTACAAAATCAGTTCTGATTGTTTATATATATATATATATATTGTATATATATGTGTGTGTGTGTGTTTTATGTTAACATTTATGCATTTAGCAAATGCTTTTATCTGAAGCGGCTTAAATTGCATTCAAGGTTTACGTTTTCTCAGTTCATGCATTCCCTGGAAATCAAACCCATCTTTATCCATTTGAGTTACAGGTTTATGTCAAGAAGAGTTTTGACGTCTGTGTGTGTGTGTGTGTGTGTGTGTGTGTGTGT